CTATAGTTTATAATATTAAGTAAAGGTATGTAAGATTATAATCAATGATATTAATAATCTCATTAAATTTAAAATAATATTAATTCATATATAACCTCCTTTTTTAATCAATACAATTTGATGGTTTGAACACTTAATTATTAGTTATTGGCTATTGCTTATCACTTTAATTATTACGTAAAATATTACTTAAGTATAATGAGAAATTACACAGAAATAACTTTTTAAAATTATGTGCTTTTTATTATTTAATATTATTAGTTCTTATTCATCCTCAATATAATATTATTTAAAAGTTAAAATCTGTATATATATTAAACGTTAACAACATAACATAGGTAGGTACATTTTTTAATAAAATTTTTTAATTTCAAAATTACTAGAAATAATGAATGTTTGTACTTATACGGTATACCTACTAATTAAGTTATATATTTTTGATTCTTAGCTGAGCGATAAAATATGTATTGATTTTACAATACGATGTGTGTTTTTGTTTTGTTTTTTGTTTTTATTTGTGGCTGTATAGTGTTTATTTACTGAATTTTTATGTTAGTTTAATTAAACATACTTATTTCAAAATATTTGTACGATTTTTTATTTTTTTGTAATTAAAAAATGATTGACAATAGATATTTGAAATGTACACCAAATGTTTATTTTTTTCCTATATACTTGATATAATTCTCAAAATATTTGATCTCGTTTTGAGCTGTTTACAGACATTTTCAATTTCTAATTTTTTTAGTTTTTTTTCTATAAATGAAAATAAAATTTTGTTTGTTGGGTCAAAAAGCTTGAAAATGTAATACAAGGGTCCTCAGTAGGACGAAAATAGCAGTTTATAAACGTTAAAAATACATAAGTGATTTTTTTTAATAAGCATTTTAATTTCAAATTTTGACAACATTAATTAAATTTAAAAAATATAAAAACACAGTTTTTTTTATAGCTTTTTAGTTCAAATTTGGAACTCAACCTACTATAGCATCAATGTCTATTAAAATAGCAAAAATAAATTAATTTAATCATAATCATATCATAAAACATATATTCTTAGTAATATAGGCTGATAGGCTGTCTTAGATGACCGTCTTGGTCGCCTTCGATTAGAATAGTTTTTCGTGTACAATGATTTTATATATCATTGAATTCAAATTTAACACATCCATTTCAGCGACTTCCTAGGCACCTAATGCACAGCAGAGCGTTACATACTCACCCGCTTTTTCACTGGTAAGTATTTTAAAATAAATTTTTTATAAATATACAATTTTTTTTAAATGTACCGTATAAGTTATTGAAGCTTAAAAACAAAATTATTAATTTTTTTTTTATATCTTCTCTGTCCCACTTGTATGGATTTTGGGTTGCTTTTTTCAGACATAACTATTCATAATCGATACTCATATTTTTTATTTTAATATACTTAATGTGAGTTTCTTGTATTCTGGTTTATTTAACGTTGACTAAAATAATTGGCCAAAAGTATATCAATTATTACAAACAATATATTTAATGAATTTCAATTATTAACGTAATAATATTGTAGTCTTCACTCGTCGTTGTCTTGACTCACCATCTTCCGGGAAAAAACATAAATATTCTAAAACTAAACAATAGTCTAACACGGTCTGTTGTATGACATGGTAGATTATACAGATACATTCTATTTTCACACGAGCATATAGTTTAATATGGTATAATCATTTTTGTTTTCTAAAGTTTATCTTAAAACGTAAAATTTTTCACCATAATAATTAAAAATGAGTATAGTTTTACAATTTTAAGCTAACAATACTATATTTAAACATACTACAGATGTAGGCCCCGGGTCCTGAGAACTTTACACCTCCTGAGGGGCCTTAATCTCTTAATATGTATCTTAAGTTTATATTGAAATCCAATATTTTTCACTATAAAAAGTAGTTAGGTACTGAGAAAAGAGATCGAAAAGGTGAGTTTAAAAATTAAGGGCATTCTTACACACTTTTTTTAATTCTTGCATATGTTTGTATTTAATTTTAACATTTTAGGAATCTTATTTTAAATTAAGGCACACTGTCAAATTATTTCCTAATCATTTACGATGGCATCTGTTATAAAATAATATTTTCTTTTCAATTTTTACATTACACTATATTACATGTCCTCAATAAATTAAGGTGGTACCCGCATAATTTGGTACAAGAAGCATAATATTTAGGAATTTCGAAGGGTCGAATCGACGATGGGGGTTATCCAATAACTTCACACTCACCTCTCTCTCAACTCACAGCAGCTAATTTGTATTTAAGTATCAAATATTCTTATCCAAAAGTTAATCTAGTCAAATTCAACACCTAAAATTAAAAGTTTAACAAACCAAGGTTGTTCATGGCGAGAACTTATAACAAATGAAAAACGTATAAATTATTAAGCAATACAGGTTTAAGTGTGATTTGGAAAAAATATTAACTCGATTTAAGTAAAAAAAAATTAATATTTTCTTTTTTTTAATTAGGTACGTTTAATAGAGTGATATACCCACTCGGTACTTGAGTATTAAATAAAATATTAAAATAGCGATCGTGCAACTTTAACACTTGTTAAATATTATAATTTACCATTTTTTTGAAGATTTCTCTGCCCTTGCACAATTTAAGGGATTAATCAAGACAATTTTAACTATATTTTAAGAAAATTAAAAAATTAAATATAAATTTAAAGTGACTTACAGATATTCGATTTTATTTACCGCTATAGGTTGTCGTCTCTTATTGGGGTTTCACTCCTTTCAACATATAGTTTAAATGTTCAAATTCATATAGGTATTTTATTTTTTTAACGACTGTCTCTTTTTGCTAAACAAATATTTCTTAATAATCATACAATGGCCTTCTAAAATGTTGTTATCCTTAGTTTTCACGATATTTGCATTATAAATTATAATATAATAATTAATAATAGGCATTGTCTATAAAATATTATTCTAAAAGCATTATTATATTCTCGATCTGCGTCAACTTTTTTATGTTTACCAAAGATTGTCTGTGGAACGCAGTAGCGTACTTAAGATTTTTGTAATATACGACATAGCCTATCTTAATTAGGTAATATTGTAACAATAATATGCATTCATCAAAAGCTCACTGATCAGCTCACCCCTAAATATTATACATTGCAATGCTGCCTTAAAACTGTGATAACTTAATAACATTATAAACAAAAATTCACTGCCAAAATTATAATATATAACTCGTCACCTGAGGTCTTGAGATGTCAGATATTTTTTGCTAAGACAAAAGTAATATATGAGTGGCGTTTAATGTTACTAGCTCATAAATCACATTATTTATATATGCTCGTAAGTCGTAACTCTTAAGTCATAGGCCATAGCCCATAGGTATATTATGTAGTTATCTAATATATATACCTAACACAAAATACAACCTTCTATTTTTCAGAAAATTCTTTCTTTTCTATTCCTTACTCATTGATCATCACTTCTTCTGGCATAATTATTTTGATATTGTGAACATAAACCAACAACACGGCAAACCTGTCAAGTTTATATATTATTACCTGTGCCTGCAGTATATTATAATAAGCCTGGATTAAGGGGCTCACGTACATTTAAAGGGCCTATATAATGATGTCAAATATGGTGGCACCTTAGAGGCTTAGAACTTTCTGAAGTGGTATCTACAATCTACGCATCATAGTTTACGCTTTTCTAAAGTTGAAGTTCGCGAGCTCTGTATATATAATTACGTAGTGCTACCCACTACTCGAGCGAGCCATATCAAATACTCCGATATGCGTATCGAATCGCAATCATATATTCATATTATAATAATATTATAGTTAGAGCCTGTTCGATACAACTTGCTGCACGTAGCTAGAGGTAGGTATATAATAACTATATAATATAGCATCATCTCAACGTCATTATCATAAACATTATTATACACCACACAAATAAGGGGTTGGTACCTACCTATACCTGTATATACACCACGAGAACGGTATAGGTACACGAACAGGCCATGTATATAATATATGATTATAAAACGTCGCGCGCGGAAGCGATTCCTCGTGCGGATGTACGCAATTATACGGAGCATGAAAAACGCGGACGACTTTAACATAAACAATATATTATTATTAATATTATACGGGAATCTTCCGCGGCGGGTGGGTGAGTGACGGGGGTGGGTAACGGGAGCGAAGCGTTGTGCGGGGGCGGGGCGGCCGGCGATATTGGAGTAAAGATCGTCGTCGGGCCGCCGCCACCGCCACCGCCGCTGCCGTCGTCGTCGTCGTCACCGCCGTCGTCACCGCCGTCACCGCCGTCGAGCCGCCGCCGCCGGTCGGTAGCGGCTAGTTCCCACAGTCTTTGCACAGTGTACGACGCGCGCACACAAACGCACCGTGGGAACCGGCGAGTTCGCCTTGAAATCGGTTCCTCCGCCCCGCCGCGCCGTTCGGTCGGTCGGTCGGTCGGTCATGCACTCATGCTACGGCGGGCTGGATGATGGTCTGGCGGGCGGGCGGGCGGGACGGAGGGCGTCCGTCCGCGGAGAGTCGCGGCATCGACGCCTATATATATATATATACATATTATATGTCTAAAACTACGCTCGCGCACACGTACACGCGTATAATATCACACACACACACACACAGACACGTGTATATATATTATGTATATTCGTAAAATATTGTACAGCGCCACTGCCGATTTAGGCATGAATGGTTTACAAGCGGCGGCGGCGCAACCGGAGCGACTACGCTATGATATATATACATATTATGTGTACATAGAACACGATAATAGTAATAGCAATAGCAATAGCAATTGAAATAGTACAGTACGGTCGCGAGAGAGCGCAACAGCGGCGGCGGCGGCGGCGGCGGTGGTGGTGGTATGAGCTGTGCTGCCCCGTCGTCGTCGTCGTCGTCGTCACCGCCGCCGCCGCCACAAGTGTGGAATGTTCCCACGGATCCCATTGGTCCGGGCCCGCTCGGCCGCCGCGGTCCCTCTTTATTTCGTTTTACGTTTGATTTTTTTTTCCTTTACCCATTTTATTTTCCCCCTTGCGCCGCCCGATATCACACGCACGCACACACTCATACACGTACACGTTCACGTTCACGTTCACGTTCGCGTACACGCACACACGCACCCGTCGGCGCGAGCGGTTTTTGCGCGCGCCGCCGCGGATCACGTTTTTCCACCGCCAAACAGGGTCGTCATCGGGCACTCGCCACTCAGTCGTCCGCGGTCGCCGCCCGCGTGTACTCGTGTGCAGTTCTCGTCGTCGTCCCGGCGTACCCGAATCCCGAACACTTCGCGCCCATCGCACGTCACAAATCGCGTCGTCCCGGGAAGGGTAACAGATGAGCGCCGCACAACAACAATAATTATAATAGTTTAATATATTATTGTAAATACTGTCGACTCAAATTTTCGAAAAAAAAATTAAAAATTAGTCAATTTTAAAAGAGACTCATCCCTATCGCGCACAGCAGCTTACGCCGCTCCGCACTAGTCGTCAGTTGTCTGCAGCACGCGCTTCTAGCGGGTCGTGTGCTCTCACGTGCTCGCCCGCCACCGTCCGGTCGAAAACTTTGTTATCATCGGCCAGTGGATTTCGACACCCGAGTCCCAAACCAACTGCACCATCTTTCGCCCCAAAAAACCAAACTTCACGCCGGGTTGCCACAGCCGCTACTCGGGTTCTTCTTCCTATTCTGGACACCGGCCAAAAGACTCAGGTAATTCAAAGTAATATACCCGTTAATATTTTTGTTTATGATACTATTAATGTATACAAAGACTTCAACGGTCAAGCCAAAACCTTCGAACGAGTTGACGTGTAAAAGCTCATTTTCATTCTAAAGGACAGTTGTAATTAGGTATCACATTATTCATGCCCATATAATAAAGGTGGAGGTATATACTGGATAACCAGATTTTAGAATTATTAACAGGTTCAAATATAACAAAATTCCAAATTTATATACTGACGAAATTAATTAAGTTCATATGTTTTAGTTATTATTTTTTTTTGTTTTTACCCATACAATAATTTTGAACTTTTTTCAAATACTAACTGAACTTAATGTTGAAAGTTCATTGTGTTTAAAAGTTCATATCAAGTTCATTAAGGTCCAATAGGAAAATGGAATTAAAAATATAATATGCATGAAATACCTACTAAATAGGTCGATACGACATTTTGCCCATTCGCTATAGACACTTGTATAGGTACGTAGCTTGTAAAGAATAAAAATGTACTACTAATTAAAATGAGTTAACTAGAATAAGTTTTTTTTGTACGTCATTTTTAACTAATATTACTTTACATAATAGAAGGATATGATCATTCTAACACATATACTTATTTTACCTACTATATTATATTTTATTAGAATCAAGAAGGATCAAAATGAACAAGTTCATAAACTTTAAGGCTAAACCCTATCACATTTGCAAACATAAATGTATAGTGCGCCAAAACTATAGTCTATATGAGTCTAATAGGTACCTATGATTGTGTCCTGTACAAGATTTGAATACCCACTATTCCGCAACCGATTAAATTTGGGACATTTTGGGTTATGATTTAAGTACCAATGTGTTTTTAAATATATATTATATTATATTATTTATTGAGTACTTAATCGTGTTGCCCAATTTTAATACTGTAACTGTGTTGTTGTTATTCGTTTTTTTAAATTACCTATAAGAAAAAAAAACATAGGGTAATAGCTAGTGAGGGCGTGCGCAAATATTGTTATTAGTTACTACCCATATTTATCATATACCTAGGTACCTGACGACGCGACGGGGGTCTAAATGTTTAATATATATAAAATATAGTAAATACGTATGTATACTTTGATTATTACAGCCATTATGTAGTATACAATGACACATATATGATACACGCGTAAACTACGGTATACACTACACACGTTATATAACTACGGTTGTTTTTAATGACAGCCGATCACGTATAGGTACCAATTTTAATGATTTTTTATACTTTTGAACAATTTTTAAAATTCTTTACGATCTTCGTTACCTTTAATATTTTAAAACTGTACAGTAATATAGTCTTAATACAAGACTCGGTTATTCTCGTGATATAATACAGGTACCCATGGATACTTTTTCTAACACAAACGCTTAAAATACCTGTATTTGTATAAACTTAAAAGTAAAAACTATACACGAGTGCTCTGTCTGAAGATAATCACTGCTGCAGACTGAAACTATATTGTTAAAACTAATGAAACGAAAGTTTTGATTAAATTATTAATCACAATGTTCAAACAGATTACCTATACCGTATAATTACTGTATATAATATTGTTTAATAATCGTTAACGCATAAGTATTAATAAAATACCTGGTGTAAAGAGGTGTCATCATTTAATATACTTTTTAAATAATGCAGACACATTTTTATTTATTGCCTACTTACCATGCATTCAATGTCATCGATTTAACTTAGAGGAAACATTTATGCGTAATTTAGTACATTGTACATATTATGTATATAGGTACCTAATAGAGTTAAGGTACACTAGCTGTGACCATGCTATATTGTTTTTAAATTTGGAGTCACATGTTTCATAAGAGAAATAAGTATAGGTATAATTTATATAGGATTATCAAAACATAGAATACATAATCATTAATAAACATTGCAAACGTTCATCATACAATTTGTATTAATAATAAGACTGTGCATAAAATGTATATGTAATTGATGATAACACATTCCTAACTAGGCGTAAAGTTAAATGAAAACATAAAATAAAATTCTTATTTACACGTTGTTTAGTATTATACACACATATTTTATAGTTTTGAAAGCTTTAGTTCGTCAAATTTTATAATAAAAGCTCAACATTTTTAAAAATTCCATCTATACGTTAAAGTGCTTCAAGTGTTTAAATTATAATAATATTTTCTTTAAAGGTAATTTTATTTAGACCACACCATCCACACCGGTAATCGGTATACGTCTTAACATTACGTGTTTATGAATATTAAATATTATTATAATCTTATAATATAATAGATATAGGTATATAAATGTTTTGATATGCATTGTTGAAATATTTATATAATTTTAAATACAATCTATCTTTAGATATTGTTATTCAATTATCTATACTGTATTGAACATCTAAATGAATATAAATGACTGATTTTATGGTTTAGTAATATATATTGTATAGGATGTACAGATTATACGGTACTCTTAAACCTGAGAATTAAAAACTGTTAATTAATTATCACATGCAGTATGAATTTATAGGAGAATACTATACCTATACTTAAGTTCAATATATCTTCTTGTGGTTATTTCTTGTGGTTCTTGAGAAAAGTTGTATCTCAAAAAGTCTAGTCTTACTTGGTATGTTTGTTTTTTTTTTAAAATCTTATGTCTTATTATATAAATACATGAAGTAAAATAAATATGTATTATAATTTATGAGTGATTAAAGAGATTAAAAATTAGGTGCATAAGCATATCAGTAAAAATCATGTTATCATCAAAAATAAAATATCACACGTATATACTATATATACCACTCATCATACTTTTGTAAAGAAATGTTGTATTAAAGTTGTTGATCGCAATTAAAAATTTAAAACAAAGTTATTAGTTGATTTTAATGACATATATAAATCAGTAGGTTATAGTCTCCAATAGTAAAATATTTTCGTCTAAAATCTATTGACCCAAAAATAGTGAACTAAATTTGTTTGCTGATATATGTAACTATAAAATTTGTCACTTGATTGACAATAAGCCACACAATTAATAACATAAACAATCAAGATGTTTTATTATTTTTTTTTTTTGTATGCACATATTATTTATTTGTATTTTTATTAACAAAATTCATTTTTTACAATAAATTAATATAGTTATATACTTATATGATTTATGCTTGTTATCAAATATCAGTCAAAAAAAGTGTGTCTTAATAGACTTAATATGTAAACATTGAATCAAATATTTGGAATAGTTTTATTAATTTGGCCCAATCGTTTGAATGAAAAGTCAATGTAATTAGACTGATACAAATTGTAGGAGACTATAATCGCTTATTGTAAATAAATGGTTTTTTTTTTATTTTCTTCCTCCCATATTTATAAAATAAACTTACATAAAGGTACCTAGTAGTATAAAAAGATAATAATCGTAAAAAAAGATATTGACATATTAAAATGTATGTATTTGACATTTAGTTTAAATAAAATATTATCTAAATTATATTATTATTTAACTACCACCTACAATTTTATAGCTTATGTTACTTGGGTACTTGAATCTGGATATGTAAGTACCTATGCTATTAAAATTAACCTTTGACAACTTTAAACATACTCTCAAAATATCTAGCTTAAATAATGTTTAGGTGTAAACAATACCTTTTATAGTTAATATTAATTTAAATGTATTTTGGTAGACACGTTAAACAAACAACAATGGTGAAATAATTCATTACTTTTTAAATACCTCTACAATCTACATACAAACTGTGACACATTTTTTTTTAAATTTAAAAATGGATACATTTTAAATATTATTTCATTCGAAATTTAACTTGAGGCAATAGAAATAATATCCCAGTAATATCCCATCATTAAAGTATAAACATATACTTTGAGTTATCATAGCTTTTGCTAATAGCTAATTTAAAAAAAAAACATATACTTGTGAATTATAGTAGTATCATAAGTTATGATATTTACCTACTACATGTTGACTAAAGAGACTTGGCAATATCATAAAATATTTATACTAAATTACTGAAAATGATCATAGCAAAAAAAAAATAATTGTAAGAAATACTACTTGATAACAGTAGAATCTTATGTTTTTTTATAAAATTTAATGATTTAACTTTGTCATTAAAATTTATATAATACACATTTATAATTCAAAAAGTACCTATAGTAAAGTGCATCAATAATGTACTTAAATTAAAATATTATTGTAATAAAGAATTGTTTATAACATAATTTTTGTAATAGTTAAATTCCCAGCTGTGGAAATATAGGATAATCTATTGTTTTTGTTTTCATCGTCCATATTATAATATGTACGTTATATAATATTATACTGAGTCTTTTACTGCAGTATAATAGCATAATATATTATATAAATTATTGTGGGGTCCATTTTTGTGCACTTAAAAGGAGATTATCCCTTCAAGTTCATGTAGGGTGTCCAATATATTAATTGAATATTCTACCCTCCCTATCACATGTTATTATACACATTGTGCACCGCACTTAATACTATTTCCATACCGTACATATTGTATTGAATACCCCTATTGTGAAGGGAGTCTGTAGTCTATAGCGAGTAGGCAGGGAATATGAAAAATATCGATTGAGTTGTTCGATAACATTAATTCGAATCATCAAAATTCATTGGACCACCGTGCACAGTTATCACTATTCAGAAACTCGGGGGAGGGTGTTAGATTAGAAATTAGTCAAAGGTTTTTTGCGTTTTAACAAAAGTTCAATAAAAGTTTGAAACATTAATATTTATTAAGAACATTATAGGATAGCATTGATTTGTCCTCTATCGGATATTTTTGAAAATAAAAACATTCATAACAATGCAAAAAAAAATTAAAACAATATTAGGTATTAAATGCATACTTATGCTTAACAATATGGTTTTAATTAATACATTAAAATATTCCAAGCCGTAATTATTTTACATTTACAAATAAAATGTGTAATTCAGTAATCATCATTATCAATAAACAGTAGATACTAATATTGTATTGTGCAGAACCTAATCATATATATTAAAGTTTTTTGATTTGTATTAAAATGTAATTTAGTTATGAAGTGGCACGTCATTTAAGTGAAAATATAAATTAAATTACTAAAATAAATGAAAATATTTAATAAATTATTATTTTACACTCACAAAAAGAAAAAAATTACATTACATAACTATAATAATTATGATATATGTATTCTAATGATATACTTAATAGTTAATTCTTATGTTATAATTTCTATTTTATTTTTAAAGTAGTTAAAACACGTGCACAAACATACAAGTTTAAAGTTATTCTGTTTCAATATTTGCGTTTTAACATTTACGTTCGTCGATCACTATCTGCGTAAAGTAACACGAGTAGCAGATCCTGAAGATTACTACAGATGCACGTGCTTTTGAATAACTAGTTCAGACCGCGAGGGTAGACGATAAAGCTATTGTTTTTTCTATAGGTTATTCCTATAGTGTATCGTTATTTGCCTGTTAACACGTATTTTTTGAATAACAGAACTTCTTCATAAATGTCACATAAATACATTGATCCGAAAATAAACACAGACGCGCCCTATGGAAAAGCCATTCCTTAAATGTTCCTCAGTTTGGGAGAATTGCAAAAAATTATGAATAATATTGATATATTATTTTTCATACATTGTATTAATAACTATTGTAGAGCAATGAACATTAAAAAATAAAATCTTGTGTAAGATACTTTATTATTATCTGAATTAATATTATTGTTTTAAATTTATTTTGTTCTTACTAATAAAATGTATTAATTTATAATATTTCTAAAAAAATACTATACTACTAGGTATTTGATAATACCAACTGTAATTTGGTAGAACAATATTTTTATTGTTGAAGGTTTGTATAGCCAATAGCTATATAGGTGTGCATTATTTTATTTTATACAACTTTTGCTTTTAAAAAAACTTTTAAAACTTTCCTACTCTTTGAATTATACAGGTTAAATTTCTTTAAAAAAAAATTATAAGACCTGTATGTGTTTAATTTAAAAAGTCGTATTGAATTTTTTTTGACTCACTTTTAAATATGTATTTCTTGTGTTTTTATTAGATTTATGGGAACTTGGACGCTAAAATCAGAGAAAGATGGTGATGCGGATGATGGGGAAGTGGTAGGCTCTCTAAGCTGTTATAACTCCGTGGAACTTCTTGGAGTGCCAGCAAGGATGCCTCATCATTATGGTCCCGAAGCTCCCATGCAGTTTCGACCAGAACAACGTCTAACTAGAGATGCAATGGAGAGGTACCTACGAGATCGCAATGATTTAGTGTTGGTTATTCTCCACGCTAAAGTAGCTCAGAAATCGTACGGTAATGAAAAACGATTTTTTTGTCCACCTCCTTGCATATACTTGTTTGGTGATGGCTGGAGACTTCGGCAAGAACAAATGTTGAGAGAAGGAGTGTCTGAAGCTAATTCACAGATGAGCGCATTCATTGGTATTGGAAGCACTGACCAAGAGTTACAGCCTCTTGACCTTAACAACGGAAAGCAATATTGTGCTGCTAAAACGTTATTCATTTCAGATTCGGACAAACGAAAACATTTCATGTTGATGGTTAGAATGTTTTATAATATTGGTTATGATATTGGTACATTCCATAGTAAACGAATAAAAGTTATATCAAAACCATCAAAGAAAAAACAATCGTTAAAAAATGCCGATTTATGTATCGCAAGTGGAACAAAAGTGGCATTATTCAATAGGTTAAGATCCCAAACAGTCAGTACACGATACTTGCACGTGGAAAAGGGTAACTTTCATGCCAGCTCGACGCAGTGGGGGGCATTTACTATCCACTTGTTAGATGATGACGAAAGTGAGAGTGAAGAATTCAATGTTAGGGATGGATATGTTCATTATGGCAGTACTATCAAGTTAGTTTGTAGTGTCACTGGTATGGCATTGCCTCGACTTATAATAAGGAAAGTCGATAAACAGATGGCTCTTCTGGAAGCTGACGACCCTGTGTCACAACTGCATAAATGTGCGTTTTACATGAAAGATACAGAGCATATGTATTTATGTCTATCTCAAGAGCGTATAATTCAGTTTCAAGCAACACCCTGTCCTAAGGAACCCAATAAAGAAATGATTAACGATGGTGCCTGTTGGACGATTATAAGCACGGACAAGGCCGAGTATCAGTTTTACGAAGGCATGGGTCCCGTGAACTCGCCAATAACACCTGTTCCAGTTGTTCACAGTTTGAACTTGAACGGTGGTGGTGATGTGGCAATGTTAGAATTGACTGGAGAAAATTTCACACCTCACCTACAAGTATGGTTTGGTGATGTTGAATCCGAAACTATGTATCGCTGCCAGGAGAGTATGTTGGCTGTTGTACCAGATATATCCTCATTTAGGGGTGATTGGCTGTGGGTCAGACAGCCAACCCAAGTACCAGTATCTCTAGTGAGAAACGATGGTATAATTTATGCCACAGGGCTGACATTTACTTACACTCCAGAATCTGGACCCAGGAATCATATCCAACCCACAGACGACATTATGCGAGCTCCACATCCTCATAATAGGTTACAGCCAGCCATAAACGACGTTCCGTGGAACCAACATTCCAATATTAAAGATTATCAATAATGATGTGTATTGATTTGGACCAAAGAAAAGAACTATTGTGGAGTATTGTTATGAATTTAAAAAATGAAAGAAAATGTATAGCAAACTATTTATACATTTTCTGTGCATTTTATATACGGTACGGATAAATAATAATTAATAAACACACTACCTAATGATGGATACTTTTTAGTCGCACATAATTGTTCATACATTGGTTCCTTTTAATTATTTTCTACGATTATTTTTGTAAAAGATTTTTTTCCGTCCATTTGATTGGTTAAACAAATGAATATTTCTTACCAAAGTCTAAAGATCGTAATTATTGTTGGCATGAAATTGGACGCTACACCTGTCCTGTTATTACATGATTGTGCAATGTCATTAAGTTACGTTTTGGGGGAACGTTACTGCATATCTTATAGGTAGTTAAAATTATACATTTATAAATTAGTATGTGGAGCTCATACAATATATGGAATTTCAAAAGTGAATCAATTACGATGCAATATTTATCCCAGTCTTAGCTCCCGTTACGAACAGTTTTGATTTTAATGACTAACTGTAATTATATATAAGCTTCTCACGAAATTACTAGTTACTGACATAAATTAGTCTTGTCTACAAATCAACAAGACTCAAGAGTAAGAACAAGTTTGATCATTAAATGAAGTTGTTAACAACTTGAAATTTTAAGTCAAACAAATGTTCCAAAATATATAATTATAAAACGATTAATACAATAAATTAAAATGACTTTCGTATCCAAAAATTAAAGAGAGAAAAATTAATTATTTTGCTTTTGAAATTCATGACCCTTTCAGTTCACAGTATTTTTAAATGTAGATTTTAAGTATAGAAAAGCAAATTGCATATTCTAAGGTGCTTAATATATATTATATAAAAACAATATCATTGTACAATGGTCAATGATATTTTGTTTCCAAATCTGATTTTGTAGTTTTGGTTTATATTGAAACAAAATATTTTTTTTTTTAAGTAGAGCATTTTTTTTTTTATCATTATGGTTATTATTGTAGTCAATATTATGCGTGATAGATATGGTTGTATTATAGTTTAAAAAAGGTAATATTATGAAATCTGTTCACTGTGAATCTATGTTATTATATTAATCATTATTAGCCTGTGGTCAAAAAAACAAAAATCTTAATTTTAACACCCAACGAAATCTCTGAATGATTCGTTTATTTTCTTGGACATCACGTGGTACCTACTACCTATATTTCCTACCTACTATAACATTTTGTACCCAAATGTTTTATTTTATTTTTTATTTTAATTTTATTACTACGTATATATATATGATATGTATTATGTATGTACTAATAATTTTTTCTGTACCTGTACTTGACTGATTTTATAAACAAAACGTAGTGTTTTTTATTTTTACTTTGACCTGTTGTAGTTAAAACTTGGTTGATTTTAATTACTAGTTTTGCCGCCATTCATGCCAAACACTTGATGATTATAATTTATTACTGTATAATTATATTTTATATAGTGTAACTATAAGACAGTAATGCCAAAGAAAAATTAGTTTGTAATGGTTGTGATCGATATTTTAGAGCATTTATTTTGTTATTCTTGTATAGCTTTCTTCCGTAGATATTTTCATGAGAAATCTGTCGTTTATAAAAATATATTATATTATTTAATATTGTATTTCATTTCTTCGGTGGGTATATTTTGTTTGTGATTTATTAGGGCTGTTAAATATGTATTTATCTATTTTCTCACTCATCTAGTTGTATGTTAACGAATAAACAACCACAGATGTAAAATATAATTTTTATTAGTTTTGAAAATGTATTAAATTGTATATACATGTAGGTAGTATTAATTGTTTTCGGTGTTATAACTCATAATATTTATTGCAATATTTCATTGTGTTTTACTGTATTAAAGATCTATAATTCACTGAACTGTGCGTAAAAAACATAAATAAGTTACCTACTTATTTATTACAATATCTGTACTAAAAAAACTAAACTAAATGTTGGAGAATGTTTTGTGAACGAATTTAGATGCATATTTTGTAATAGTTATGTTAAAAATAATTTTGTAAACAATATAATGTTATCAGCTCTAATAAATAATTATGATTTTATTTTTAATGAAAAATACTTATTGCCCTTATAATTACCTATAAATTATTATTCAATAATGCGTGTATTACAAAACGTTTTAGTATTCTATGTATAGAATATATATATTATATAGGTACTTGTATAGGTAATATACACGTATATTCGTATAATATATATTTATGAATAAAAACTTAAAACGTATTTATCTATGAAAATGTTTGTCAGTTGCGTACTTTATTGCTTTACAGTATGACATTTTCAAGTTTTTCCTAATTGATTCTTACAAAAAAAAATTAATAATAAAACAACAAGAGGCCAATATTATATAATAATATTATGAAATTAATAATGCGTGGTAGGTATCTATAATAATACATATATACTGCCCACATCATTTATACGAAAAGTGCAGTAAACGGCGCCGGAGTGTTCACGATCAAGTCGGAGCTGTCAAAAGAATATTGATTTCGGCAAGTACCTACTTGTAACATTAATAATTACACATTTTTCAGAAGCGAGAGCCACATGCACTCGACGATCATATTATAGGTATAAGCGATATAAGCAAGTGCAGTTGGGCTTAATTAAAATATTTTATGTTTTTATATTATATTACCTATATAAATGGCTTTAAGGCCAAAAGTTGTATGTCACAAAGTGACATTAACACTAAATTTTACAGGAGAACAGTTGGAAGAAAATATTATGATACTGTTAATATAGGTAACGCTATACTAATACCTATTATTTTTAAGAATAATATTAGTTTCTAGTATAGCGTTATAGTAATATTTTTCGACATCAAATTGCTGTCTGAAAACTGATTTAAAATGTAAAATATTTTGTTGATTAGGTACATAAATTACTAGGTACATACTTTTATGTCTTAACATTTTTATATGTACCTAATTATTATGTCACTTTTAAATTTAAATGGGACTTGTTATAAAATATGGTAATTATAATGTATTTTTACCGTGGCATACATAGTTTTTATAGTCGTGTATCACAAATTGTTTATTTAATAAAAACAGTTAATTAATTAACTGATTTTTTGTAGACGATTGATTAAGCCCAGAATTTGTTATATTTATCAGCTTAATATTTAAACCAAGATAAAATATCTATCGTATAATCTAATCAATTTAAGACTTGTTATAAATCCATCTTGAGCTAAAAACACAACAATTAAAGAATCAAAATAATGTGTTTTAATTATGACATTGACTTATAATGTCTTTGTCGAAAGAAAAAGACTACCCAGAGGTCAGAATAACCAAAATCGACTTAAAAAACGATACTGAGAAAAATTGAACATTCAACTTTTGGCCTCTTAACCATCGAATTATATTCGAAAATAATTTATGATAGATTGTGATAATGATATAATATATGGGTATAATAACGTCTTATATATTAATTATGCAAAACAAAATTTAAAAGAAATAGTTAAGTGCGGATAATGTTTCGAGTAATGTGCTAAAAAAAAAAAAAAAACAATAATAATAATACATTCCGGTCACGATGAGATGTTCAGGTTCAATAATTATGTGATTATTGTGACATTATAAAATGAACGTGATTTGATTTGAAAAACGTACACGCTGCTATACAGGCAGAAATAGGAACCCGCTCGTCTACGACCGTAGCACACCCGTAGCGAATACCGATATTATAGTATAAGTGGCCAAGTGGGTATACCTATAGGTACCTCTTATAATGTATAAGTACCTAGCTGACATGCAATCATTAATCACACACACACACACACACACACACACACACACACACACACACACACACACACACACACACACACACTCACACGCTCGCCGGTAAGGTTTTTCATCCACCTCAAATAATATGAATTAAAAATAAATATTCGTATTATTAGGTACACATGACTATTATTCGAACTGTTCGAAAACACACATAATATTTATACCTCTATTATAATATGCGCGAGAACTCCTCGTTATATGGTTTATAATGATTATTATTCGCGGTCTTGCGTAATTGGCGAGCATTATATCTACCCGTGTGGCCATGTATCATATTATTATTATTTCAATTCAATTATTATATTGTGCGGGAGAAGGTTGCGCATGTATAATATACTAAAATAATATATATGATATATAATATAGTGCATCGTCGTCGTACGACTTATATGTATAGAGGTACGATTATAATACATTATAATAGAAAAATACAAAATGGTCGTGGAGAAGCATCGGTATTTTATATAAATGATGATGCCGAGGGGTTTGAAGAATCCATAATCAGAGAATATTATACATATTTATACTGGCCATAAGTATACGTATTATAATAATATAATATAGTATCGGAATGGTATTTATTATGTGAATAATAATATATTTTAATTTTTAATACGTTCCATTTCGCGACAAAAATTACCTATGAACCGGCACGTTCTATCGACACGAATATTGAATACAATACAATATAGTAATTGGTATATTTTAATAGGTATCTATTATTGTTTATTGTTTAAATTATGTTTGATATACATACAAAATCACCTATATCCGCATAAATGCGATTTTCCAGTGTTCCATCTATACTTATACTTGTGCCGTGTACGAAGGTAAATAATATATAATGATACTTTTTTGTGATTTGCTCATGTTTTAATAATTATTTATGATAAACCGTACATGTAAAGACATATTGGTCTTATGTTATATATCACTGTATTTATGAATTCACAAACCAATAAATTAATCGTTAAAACGTATATATAGGCACATAGGTGCATATACGTAGGTATATGTGCACAGGTTCAATGATATAAGAATAATATTATACTTTTTTTTAGAAACTCTATTAATTTTATATTATGATATTGTAGGAAAATGATGAATTTCTTTGGTTGGGTGCTACTCAATAATAGTAGTACCTACAAAAGTTATAAAAACAGTTAAACCTCCTTAACGCAACTGAACGGGGACGGGCATATTGACTACTTTTATTTTCATAATTATGGAAATCCTCGTAAATACCTACGATCACTCTAAATGATGCTTTGAGGGAAATTTGTATCATGATTTATTTTAGAATAATTGTTCAAAAAAAATTGTTTGGGCTGAAATTATAATATATTTTAACATATTATTAGAGACTAAGCATGTATGGCTAATGTACAATTTTCTTAAGTTTATTGAAATAGCCAGTGAAAATAGTCGATTCGAGAACGATATTTAATCGATATTATCGCCATGTGCAGCACACAAATATATAGGTAAGTAGGTTAGCTTTGTACCTACATGGCTCTATATTAAAATAGACATAATATATGGTTGAAATATATTATATGTAATAATTTAGATAGGTATATATGAATTTTCAATTGGTTGCAACTCACTGTAAAGTGTATATTGGATGAACGTGTTGTCCAAATAATATTATTTATTATTATATACTAGGAAAAGTACACAAGCTTGTGGACTCAAAAAAACATCACCGCCAGCGTGAAGAATTTATGTCGTTTTCGGAGTTTTGAGGGCTATACTCACGGATGATGTATCGTGTTTATTTTTTACCACTCACCGCCGTCAGTCACTGGCTTGAAAAATAGTATGTACATCGAATGTTAAATGTTAAATCTACGGATATGAAGTCCGTGGTAAGAATTATTGCCTCAATGCCTCTGGAAAACCGTATGAAGTATAATATATTGGTGTATGCATTAATTAAACATTTCAACGCTTATAATTATTATTTTATGTATATACAAAACGTAAAGACGTAATCAAATATAGGTATAGTCAGTAGATAATAATGCAAAAAAAATAAACACTTACGAAATGATGGAGGAAATGATATAATATGATGGAAATTGATTCAACATTAAGTATGAACTTTTCATTTCGTAACAATATTACAGGATACGCACAAGCGGAAAGTATAATTAATTGCAACTGATAATATAGGTATATTATGATGGAATAATATGGGATTTTACAACTTGTAAATTAATATCACTTGTTTAGCCGTTTATACCTAAAAACTATTCATACTCGTATCTATATAAATATATAACGCGTTGACAAGTGTAAGAAATCGTATCGATAAAAATGCTGTGCTAAAAGTTTCTGAGAAGATCGAATTATAAACTTAAATCAAATATGTTGGTTTTTTTTTTAAATTGGCAAAATTGAACCACTAATCACTGTCAACAATCTATAATGAAAACTAATAATTAATCATGACAAAATCCAGTAATTGCTAAAAACACTTAAGTTTAATTAGGCCTAACCTTGAACAATAAATTACAATTAACCATTTAATAACTTAAAATGTATTATGTTTCGCAATGACTATGCTACCAATAAAATAAAAATAAAATATTCACGCTCTTTAATTAGAAATATATGAATAAAAACTGTATAATTTAAAAAATAATACTACTAGAACATAATATAATATGAAATGTATACCCGTAAATCGTTTAATGTGTAAACAAATAATTAATATTTATATATGTTGCAATTATTTACAATACATGTTTCATAATTAATTTCGTTATCTATTAACACTATAATATTTACAGAATTAATATGAGAAAACAAAATATTATTGTGTTTGCGATTTGTTTCATCCCCATCGGATTCGTTTTGGTAAATATTTGGTTCATTTAGACTATCTATAATTTTTTTTTTAAATACTTTCAAATTCATTGGTACTTCTGTATCTTTTTTTACGCGTGTAAAGCCTGTATAAATATATAAAATTATTTTATTAATCTAAAAAATGCGTATATAGCCGTAAACGTATAAACTATAAATATAGTTACGTGTATATTGTCTACCAATAATAAGTAACAATTATATATATATATATATATTACATGTTGCTTTGTATTTACGTCTTGCACCATAATTTCTGAAGAAATTTATTCACTTTTAGAAACAATTTTCGTCTTTTGCCTGTAGCTATGGGTATAATGGATATTCTGTCTGCGGAAATCGGTGAAAAAATTGATTTGATTCATAAT